CTAAATATTACTATTTAAATTACATCGCTGTTTTTTTGTATCTGCTAAAAAATTGTCTGTCAGACGTAGAATTTATAGCAGCAATATTCTAAGAATATATGCAAGAAAATATAAGTCTTATAACCAAATATGATTGGAGTCTGGATTGGAATCTGGATTGATTAAACGTCATAGAGGAATTTTCTTACTAAATTTGATAAATAGTTCAGATATAATTTCTGTCTCTATTATCTATACTAATTAAATACAAAATATATGTAGTATCGCAGTTATTAATCACTTATCCGTTTTAGCTAATTTTTCGTACCTAAATAATTTTCGTTATAATTGCAAGATTACTTTTTTCAGTGGAGAATCTAGCGTGTCTCATCCTGTACATACATATACATACAACGTATAATATATTTTATACATACATATGTAATGGACTTTAGCATATCAATTAAATTATCTCGGTTATTTTCTGTTTTAATAAAAAATATTTGAAATAAAATGATTCACATTTCAGTTTTAAAAAAACAATATACGCAACAATTTTTATTATTCGTTTTTCTACGAGATATTGACATCATTGATATTTTTTAGCTGAAACTATTAGTTTTTTTTACATATTCGAAATTTCTAATTATTTTATATATAATGTAATTTTGTATTTAGAAAAAGATTGAAGTTAATAAAAAATGTTTTATTAAATGTTGTAATTAATTTGTGAAATATTCTATACTTTATTTTGATATATACTTTGATATACCTACTTACTTTATACGACATAAATATATGAAAAATCTCACGCGCATAAACGCACACAACTGCATAGAGTATATAAATACGTAAATATCACATGCATAAAAAATGAATAAATATAAGGCTTGCTTATAAATATTAATGCTTGTTTGATATATTAGCTTGACAAATAAAGGTCGACGGTAAATATCAAAAGAGGCATATGGATAATGTGCCATTATACATACACGTAACAGCCATGGATATCTTTATTAAACCATTTCAAAATTATGGAACGATTACGTGGCTATTCGAATTTATCCTCTTTGTGACATTACATTTACGGCAGATTAAAAGCGTCCACTATCAATCAATTGATACTCGTCATTTATTTTTCAATGTTGATAACAAAGCTTAGGTATTCGTTTCATGTCAAGAATACGCGGAGTATCCAATCGAAACAGAACATTTCAACTGTATTAAAATCGCATACAGATATATAGACGTGATTTTAGATTTAATTCCGTTTTTTTGATAAGCTTCGTACGAGAATTCAAGAACTCTTTCAATAAGGAAATTACCGATTTGCCAGTAGATTCACAGTAAGGGAATATTAACAGTATATTAGTAATAGATTCGAAGAGAATATTGCAGTAGATTAACTATGACTGCATTCAGCTCGTGATCTACTTGTCGACATAATCTGAAATATATCATTTAATCCTTTGCTGCAATGTACATACATAGTATTTCACAGTGTTTCATATATAGGACATCTCTTTTCTTTTTGCAGTTTTTACATATTTTTACGCATTTCATAATTGATTTATGTAACATATTTAACACATTTACATTCCTGAGACATATATGTACACATAAATAATATAAATATGTAATTATTTTGTATTAACAATAAATTATAAATAAAATATTTATCAAAATAAATACTTAAAAAAATGTATGCTGGAATAAAGAAAATAATCATGAAAATCTTTACATCAAGGTTTTTGAGATCGATAATTTCAAATCTGTATTCAAAATTAAAAATAGATTCAATATGGCGGACAAGAAGAATTTAAGAATAAAACAAAAAAAATTCAAATAAACTCAATTTATCATACCCTTATCGTTAGTTCTAATAAAAATTTAACTTCTTATTTTCAAAATTTGAAATTTAAAATAGCAGATTTAACATATATGACATCTAAAATATATGATTAAAAAATTTGAATAATTATACTTACAATTGGATTATATTTATATTCGAGACTTCTCGTTACATCCTCGTCGTTGATTCTAAGTTACAATAAGCTCGAGACTTTTTCATTAAAAAATATTAAAGATTTTTTTCGATATTTTATTTTAAATTTTCAAATTTTGACAAATATAAATTTGAAATCAGAAGTTTAAACATTCTTCATGTTATAAATTTCAGTTTTTAATTTTCAAAAATTTAAATGCTATCTCATTTTAACTTAAATTGCGACTTTAATTTGTAATTAGCGATTAGAAAAATTCCCAGATACTAAGAATTAAAAAAATGTTTGTACAAATAAAATTTGTGCAGCAATGTATGTACAAATAAAATTTGTAGGTTAAGTGCTTACGAAATGGTTGCTCATTCTGTTCGCTTCTTATCATCAATTTACCATATTCTATTAGTACATTCTGCTAGTTATATCTGCTAGGACATTTTGTTGACAAAATATGTAATAGACACTTTTATAAAATCTGTTTCCGTTAATTCTGGCTATTTTAGGTTGGTAACACTGAGTGCACTCGTTTGCAAACAGCTTGGTGGTCGGTGGCAATGGTAGAGACCGAACAGAATTGGCGTCAAATTCTGCTCGGTTCATCCGCTATATCTAGCATCATATTTTGTTAAGCAAACTGTTGCATTTTCACCAGTATTTAACTTAAAAAATTGCAATACTTGCATCATATATCTGCAAGTTTTCCGATAGAATTTATAGGAGATGCAATTGTACATACATACAATCCGTTTTGAGACAAAATCGACGTCTGAATAGTTACGTCCCTGCTCCACGTTCGCCAGTTTCCTCCCGTTCCGTTTTCCCCCCACTTTCTCTCTCCCTTTCTTTCTTTGTCGCTATCAATGAAGCTGTCCTCTCGCATATCCTGAATAATGTTGGAACAGTCGCGTGTGTGACTACCGACCGCGCAGATACCCTCGGCTCTAACGGGAAAAGTGACGCTTTATAAGGATGGTACGAAGGAATATTCAGAGAGGACACGTGCAAGTTCTCCCAGAGCGCGGTCCTGGTAAGTTCTGCGTTCCTATGTATCTCTATGCAATCCTCTGATTGCGGAAGTAGTTCAAGTAGCTAACCCGGCATATATTGGCGATCATTGATCCGGGACCATATGGTTGGTAACGTGTAACACTTGTCCTATTCCTTTCGTATAATGATCATAAAAAGTTTCCTGTGTCCTGCGGCTGTAATATATTCAGAAAAGATTGTATTGTTAATTAAGCCTACTTTAGATATACTTCACAACTTCCTATTTATAATTTTATGTATTTTGTAATATTATGTATCTTGTAATGAAAATTATTTGAAATAATGGAATATGCGCATATATATAAATGCATATATTAAATACGTATTAAAATGCACATATTAAATTATAAATAGAACTCTGTCCTGTGAATTCTGATTCAAATTACAAATTAAAAAAGTTTAATAAAAAATTAATAAATTTTAAAGAATTTTGAAATTGTTTTATTAAATATAAAAAAGATATTGATGATATTTTTTTTTAAGTAGTGTGTGTATGTGTATGTGTAACCTAGTATTATATATATATATATATATATATATATATATATATAATAGGTTAAGATATCATCAATATCTTTTTTATATTTAATAAAACAATTTCGAAATTCTTTAAAATTTATTAATTTTTTATTAAACTTTTTTAATTTGTAATTTGAATCAGAATTCACAGGACATATTATATTATATTACATATATATATTATATTATATATTATATTAATTATATATATATATTATATTATATTACATATATATATATGTATATATATATATATATATGTAATATAATATAATATATAAAACTATTTTAAGCAATCTATAATCGCTTTTGTTAAACCATGCTTGGAATTGACTGAACCAGTTACTAATGGGAACTTGTTTCAATTACAACTTTCCAAACCGGTTGATATCTAACTATTAATTTTTCGATTGTATGGGATTCGCTCATAGTAAATAATATAAAGTTATGCTAATATATTACGCGTTGTATTATTAATTGTGTAACAGTTCAGTCTCACAATTAGTGCATAATAATATATATTAGTATATAATATATTATAGTAAAAATGATATATAATATTTTTCTTAATACATATTGTACATAATATACCATAAAAACATATACAGATTATATCTTTAAAAAGCCACAAATGTACAGACAAATATTTTTATTATATAAGATCTTTATATAGGATATCGTGAAAATGTTCAATCTTCTTTTAACGAAATATTTTTTAGCTAACTTGAGGTCATTTTGTTTAATACAAAATCAACATTAAATAATATTATATTAGAAAAAGTAAAAAGATTTTTTTTAAATTTAACTTTAGAGTTTTAAAAATCGAGTTTATTTTAATAATTAAATTTAAAGTTTAGTTATAAAGCGCTATAATTCTGTAAAATATAGAAAACAAGTAATATGTATAAATTAAGAATTTTTTCTTTCATATAATTATTTAAAAGATTAATTTTAAATAATTGTTATTAAAAGTTTATATATTTTAGTTTTCTGAGGTATTTTTGTGCTTTATAACAAAAATTAATCATACGTAAAAAATAATTTTTATAAAATATATAATATACAATAAAAGGTAGAGATTAAAATTATATAATAACCATTTTATTTCCCTATGAAACAAACATGATTTCTATTTATCATTTAATATTTCTAATATGATATTTGTAACAAGGTATATTGGAAATTGCGCAAAAATAATATAATTAAAGCTACTAAAAATATAAGTTGATATAAATTTTCATTCAAATTGGAAATTTTTCTTATCATGTTTTATCTTATCCACGTTTTGGTATAAGATATTTAATGCTCCAATTAAGTCCTTAAACACACTTTACATTATATCACACATTTTTTTATGTATTTTTGCGTATCGATTATTTCCAAGTCATATTTTCTTCGATAAACTCACATTGAGATATGTTACTGCAAATTACATATTGCAAAGATTTTATACAAAAATTGGAAGTTATTCAGTATTATTGAATACAAAACTAAAGGTTTTTTTGTTTTATTGCATTGAAAAGTATAGATTTAGAAATCTTCTAGATTGATTGAACTAGGTTTACAAAAATAAACGATAAAGTAAATCACACAGCTGTACTCATATTTATTATTATTATTATTATTTGTTAAATTTTAATTGTTTTACGTTTTACGTTTCCACGTTGTACAAAATTGACTTTAATTTGCAGATAGCAACTGAATATTATCTGTGCAAATATTTTGTATTTGCAGATATATAAAATATACGAAGTTACACACAAAAAAGATCATCTACAGAATTATAATTATCAAGTGATTTTGAAGATATCTTGAATGGTAAACATCTTTTTTCTGATAAAAACATTGTCGGATATCTTCTTAATACTTTTTTTTTAAGAATATTTGAATGTTATCTGTATTAACATCAAATTTTACTTTTTAAAAAACTTCTATTAAACAATAAGACTTAAAATTAATTAATTAAAGAATCTGATAATGCAAAATCGATGAAAGTTATCGATGGAAGTAATAAAGAATCGATATATGTTATTTAATATAGAATTTATATTTATCAAGAAAAAAATTATATATTTTAACATAAATAATATATGTATATATGCATATTCTTGTATTAAATAATACAATTTTAATATGTCAACATAGTGAAATTGAAAAAAAAAAAGTGATTATTGAATGGGATATATTTGCGGTCTCGTATCAATTTGATTTTTTCTTGTCTTTTTTTTTGTAAAGTCTTTATTTGTTTCTGTTTACAGTGGCAGCTCTGATATACTGGCGCGATCCAAAAAAATCGGGAATCGTGTTCGGCACGATACTAGGTGTGCTTCTGTCATTGGCCTATTTCAGTCTGATTAGCGTGCTGGCTTACATGTCACTTCTCGCCCTTAGCGGAACTATTCTTTTCCGTATCTATAAAACTGTTCTTCAAGCAGTTCAGAAGACTTCAGACGGCCATCCATTCAAGTAAGTGTAAAATGATGAGAAATCTTTTAGGAACATTACATATATTCTTTTTTATTGATGTTTTCTTTGATAATTTTTAACATATTTTCAGAAAAGGTATATGTATAATTGCACAATTTTTTTAAAATTAACAATGTATTTTTTTTACATTAATTAATTTATTCTGTGCATAAAAGTATTAAGGTATGGTTATCACAAAATTAATAGTTTATGAAGTACTTTATATTGTATGTCAAAATGTGTCAAAATAAAATATAAAATATCTCATGATTATTGATTTTTTGATAATATTACTTTAATATTTTACATGTATATGTATATGTATAGAATAACTAGTTTCATGTGTAAAAAATCATATAATTGCATTTAAAAAATGGCGCTAGTCATTATGTGACCTTAAAAAATCAATTTTTTCAAAAATTAATTTTAGCATTGTTTGTTCTCTTCTAGACCATACAATTTTTTGGTTTAAAATATTTTTCCCAAAATTGAAAACAAAAAATTTTGGGGGATAATTGTTTAAAAAGGGACACTGTATACATAAAATAATGTAAACGCAAATAAAGTAAAAATTAATATTATGTAATATTTTTAATTATAAAATAAATTAATATAATAACATTTAAATATTTCTAATGCTGAAACAACCTTGTTAATTTTTTCTTACCGTAATTTTGAGTAAACTTTGCTTTACTCAAATTATCATCTGTTGTAGGGACATTCTTGATCTGGATTTGGCATTACCAGCTGAGAAAGTGCACGAAGTCGCAGACGTCGCGGTTGCACATGCTAATGCTGCTGTTAGTGAACTGCGCAGACTTTTCCTCGTTGAAGATTTCGTCGATTCTCTCAAATTTGGCGTTTTGCTATGGTGTCTCACTTACGTGGGTTCTTGGTTCAATGGCATGACTCTCATTATAATCGGTAAATTTCCTTGCATATTGTACAATATTGCTATCACTACTCACATAGAATCGATTCTACAATCGGTTAATTTTATTTTTCAGGAGTGGTTGCTCTTTTTACGCTGCCTAAGGTTTACGAAACAAACCAGGAGCAGATCGATCAGAATTTAGCTTTGGTACAGGCGAAGATCAATGAAATTACCGCCAAGTAAGTTGAGCGGAGATTTACTTAATTTATGAAACATTTTACAAAGTGCATTTACAAAAAACAATGCAATAAGATTTTTCTTTATTTTCTTTTTTTATTAAAAAATTTAAAATATGTCGCATTAAGGGGATCTTAAACCCGAGATAAACTCCAAAAATTCGCTGTTTTACCGACGATTTGTGAGTATGTATGCGTGCGATATTGATGTGGTAATATGTAGTGATGTGTTCATGTTTACCATATCGATATCTCACGCACACATCGTAACAAATTTTCAAGAACATATATCTTTTTTATTAGGCATCCAAGCTTAATTTTATGAACTCAACATTGTTTGCACATGTAATTCGTAGTTCCGGCTGGTATCATTTTGTACCAACAAACTGCCAAATTGTTGTACGAAGCAAATATTGGCACATGTGACAGCTCTAAACGCCATGTTGGACTAAGAAAAAGTAACGGAGATCTAAATTTCATAAATTTTTTGCGTTCTCAGCATAATCTCTATTAGCCGGAACTACATTGATGCCTATACTTTAATCGTAGAGAAGGATTTTTTAATCTGTTGCCTTTAATTATGGAAAATTTCCTTTTCCACGATTAAAATACACATGCTAATGCATCTGGCTCTGGTGTGTTTTGTACCAAAAACGGGAAAAAATGAAATAATTACAGATTTCGTTATCCATTTTAACCTCAACATGGCGACTAATGCTATCAATTTACCAAAACGTTTACTTCGTGGAAAAGTTAGGCAGGTTATATACTCGAAATGAAGGCAGAGCCAGATGTGCAATAAAGAAATGAGTATATGTGAGTCGTTAGAA